AACTCTCGCAACTGCATAAGGTCATATGACACATTAAACATTTTTAGTTTAGTGGGAATTAATTTTGAATTTTGCCCGGATGGCAGCCGAAGCCTACTCGTATCCACTGTAGGAATAAAAAGAGATCTTTAACGTGCGCAACTTGCGTTCGAGACCTTTGAGATTTTTAAGTTTTACGCCCCTTATGGCTGTTTTATGCTTCTTCCTCTAGCCTGTTCCTTCCATTCTGTGGCATTCATCTTCTGGATTGTCCGAGTACCTGAGCCACCTCCCACAGAAACAACACAACTATCCACGAGATACAACTAATCTTACAGTGACCTCGAGCCTGGCGTCATCAGTCTCCGGTTACAATTGACTAGGCCACGGTATGTATTAAGTTCCTGTCGACACATTCTACGTGACTTAGGAGGCGGGATGTTTAGACCTCATCTGTAAGTTGCAAAGGCCAGCGGGGATAAATGGGATACAACATCGCAGTACACCAGCAGAACAGTATTAAAAGATAAACTAAACTATCTTTCCCAAGCGGGAATCGAACTCATATACCTTCTGCCTGCAACACAAGTGTATAAAGCGTAACCAGAACACCCAGACGTCGGTCCTGGGTTCAAGTTCAACACTTCATAAACAGCTCCAAACTTGGGACTAGCACAAACAAAGATATAATATGCAGTTGTAATGAAGTCCTTGACTCGCACACATACCACAAAATTCCGCCTACCTCTAGACATGCCAAAACGTAAACATGTGTACGAGCACGCGACCGCAGCGGTTTAACAATAGTAGACCTACGAATGATCCAGTTGTGGGACAAAGCTCTGTGCCTGGCGGTATGGATACTGGCTACTGGACAACCGAAGGTCGATAAAACCTCCCGGACCATGACGGGCGCGGCCTGCTCGCAGTGGACGTGTGTTAGCTTCGGTCAATATGACTTTGGATGTGTAAGGAGAAATTGTATATTTATATAGTGGGTAGATGATGTGCTCCTTCTTTCCTATCAAATATCTATCGTCTTCATCTCTCCTCCTTTTTTTTTACGTATTATGTGGCGTCGGTGGCCTAGTGGTTAGGCTCTCGGACTCGCAACCGTAAGGTCGTGGGTTCGAATCCCGTCAGGAACCCGACGTTGTGTCCTTGGGAAAGGCTCTTTACACGAATTTTCCTCACTTCACCCAGGTGGGAATGGGTACCCGGCTATAGACAGCGAAAGATCTTGTCAGTTTGTTAGTGTTTGAGCGCTTAATCAGCTAGCTGCTTGCACTGTATGCTTCCCGGGAAGCTGAGAATGTTTCAGCAGAGTGTTCTATGGTCTGCTGGGGTATTAATATAGTGTAAAGCGCATAGAGCCTGCTGTTGACCGGGGATATGCGCTATACAAATGCTATTTATTATTATTATTTTTTTATTTTCTATCATTATTATTATTATTATTATTATTATTATTATTATTATTATTATTATTATTATTATTATTATTTACTCTCTTATAATACATTTATCCTTCGGCACTTTTATTATAGCCATATTGTGTTGCAAGTGCTGTAAACTCTTACTAGCTTAAAAAAACAACTAAAATATTAATTATATATTGCCAATACACATTCCACAGAGCAACGTTACGCCAGGGAGGACGATGATCGAAATAGGACATAGAAGGGGATGAAAAACATCCGGTGACATTTTCTGGCTTGTAAATTTTAAAGTTCACTTTTAGTAAGAGTTTTACGACAATAAGGTCATTATATAGGTTGCCGAAGATCAGGGGTAACAAACACAAAAAAGAAGAAAGGGAGATAAGGATGATAGATGTTCGATAGTAAAGAAAGAGTAAACCACACCAGAGCACCCACCAACCGCCCACGTTCGAATTTTGAGTTCGAATAAAGAGAAGTAGATCACATGACATATGGCCATCCAAGTGCAGAGTTAAAGCAAGAGAGACAGACAAAAAAAATGGGAGGGAGGGAAAGAAGAGAAACAGGCTCTACAGTGGAGCCCTCCAACCACCCAACAAGCTTATCGCGCTAAATTGATGGGAAATTTTCTGCGCCCTTATGGCCACAAAATTATATTAATTTGAAGGCAGGCTGCTTCAACACTGCAAGCCAGGTCCAACACTTTGTGGGGTACAGTAATAGGCGACCAAAACTACAGAGACGCTGAAAAAAAGTATGCGTCCTTTACGTGAACGCCCAAAAGAGATACCAATAGGCGACCACAATTAAAAGGAAAACAAACCCAAAGTAACACTTTCTTTGCCTCCTGTGGATTTTGGAATATAAAGTTTTTGCTTACTCACGTCTTCGTGAACACTGTGATTCTGAGACTAACACCGGTAGCACGCCCATACGACCGTATTTTGCAGTTGTGAGCGCTGTAAAACTTTACCAATCGGAAACTGATAAATTTATAAGACCATTCACTAGACACCCAAAAGTGAGCACAGACTGATAAAAGATGCCAACTGACGTGTTCCTTTTAAACCCTCGAACATTCGCAAACACGCTCTACGAGATCGATAAGGTAACTATTTCGGGTGCAAATCTGAAAATGTAACAATTATTTCTGATCAAATGTCAACTGACCGCGGTCCATTTGTGTAACTTGACGTCATCGATTAGATCAACAATGACCACAGTGATGACATGGCATAAATAGAAAGTGGGCGTGTGTGGGG